ATATATTGGTAATCTAATAAGTATTCAGGAGACAAACAGGGTCTTTGCTTGCATCAGAACAAAGCAATGTCAGCAGTTTTCTTCCAAGAGTGATGAACCCTGCTAATCCGAAGCGTCTGCTTGTTGGCTGCTCTGAGTCCTTTTGTTTGTGAGGAGACTTCACGTTGCAGACTTTCTGGTTGGGCTCAGGCCAAGGATGCTCACAATCTGCTTGAGCTTCTGAGGATGTTCTGTGCCACACTTTGTGACTGCCCCTGGGCTTTCCAGATCTTCTTGATTTTGTTCAGGCTGTGGCAGATGCCCAACCTCTGAGAAGAGCAGAGCAGACATCACCATGTAGCCAGAGCCACCCTCCCTGCTCCACCTCACCAGCTCCCCCTGGCGCTGGCACTCACACAGTTGCTTTGGGATGACTTTGCTCCTCTGGGATATCCACACAGTTAGGATGTTTTTTTTCCTCCAAAGAGATGTGATCTCTCTCCTCTAAGGAACTGCATTTATTCCTCAGTTGGTTGCCTCTAGAGCTGCCAGCCTGGGAAGAGAGCCTTGACTGCAATGTTCACATTCAGTATCTTGTCCCTCCAAACGGGATGCCTAATCTGATAGGGTTAGGCCCCGAGGCGGGCCTTGCATCAGGATGAATGATGCTCCCTCTGGATGAGACGCAAGCAATATTAGCAGCCTGGCAGGATGGAGAGCAGTGAGGGGAGTGGAAAAGATGACAGGGAAGAGAGGAGTGGGGAAGAACATTTCCTTTTCGTTTCAAAATTAGAACCAATGTTACATTTGTAGCTACTGTGAGATGATTAAGTGCAAGCTCAGCCTTTCTTCCGGCTCAGAACAGGGCATTCCCTTGGCCAGCAGATCTCGCTGCTGTGGCTGTTGCCCATCTGTGACTACAAGCAATATAACTGACCCTGTAGTGTCTGCCTGCACAAGTGTAAAGATAATCTCTCCCTCTGCTAATGGATGGATGGACAGACACACAGCTATCACATATGGCTTACATGCATTCATATGTTCACGCACGTGGTCTGGAAATGTTAGAGGAAGAAATTAAAGTGGACAAGTCTGTAATGCAAAATCTGAAATACAGGTGAAAGAGTAATTCAGTAATTTGGCCACACTTACTTACAAAATCAAACTGCTTCTGTGAGTTCTGCTAATTTTCCTAAAGCCACCTGTATGCTTTTACCAATAATATTATGATGTCAACATCAATCACCATGTTACAAAGACTCCTTATCTGTGATCCAAATCATTCTGTTTACCCTGGAGACACATTTAAGACAAATTTAAGAGATCATCAGTCATGGTCTCTCCTTCCAGTGACAAAAACTTGCATCTTCTGAGAACACTTCCAGTGTGCTCCTCAGGAAAGAAATCAGAGATGAAACCCAGTCTTTTTACAGATGTCCTCACATAGACTCAAATCATCACATCTTGTCTCTAATTCTGGAAGCTACATAAAATAACTGTTCTGAGACTGAGTCTCTGTTATATGTAGATACCTTTACGCAGGTGAAGAGATGAAAAGACATCTCATATGTGACATTTAGGCTCTAGACTTAATTATCTAGCATGCAGTTATATAGCACAAAGCCAGTGAAGAACAATGCCAGATGCCTTCATTTCATCTCCAGTGCTCTGAAATTTCATATACTTAAATAATTCAGATTTGCACCCTTCCCAAAATCTTACATGGTCACATTTTAATTTGCTATTTTCTCACAGGACATTAGTTGTTTGTTGATGATAAAAGAATTGCTTGATACTTATGTAGCCGCTTATGTGTCTTATCATTACACTATTGGACTTCCTACTGCGAAGAAAACATCATCATAAAATTCAAATAAACATTTCACAAGGATCATCACACAGGATATATCATTTTAAAGGCATCTGAAAAGCAATTCTCTGAGGCATGTTTCATACGCAATTGCTTCCCAAATAGTTTTCCATTAGGTCTGGGATTCAAGACATAGCAAGTGCCTTTAATCCAATTCTTCATTCGGTTAGGGAAAAGCCTGGATAGTAACTCCAAAAACTTCTTCCTCTGCCACTTCCACAGAAAATGTTTAACCTCACTATAGATTACCTTGGACCTAATGAACTCCTAATTCCTGCAGAAAAATCATCCTGAGGAGCTGTTTATTTTTATGTGTGAGACAAGGGTGGTTTTTGGCAAAAGTGAGGGCCTTTTGCAGGTATGGATAGCATTTTACCATGCTCTGAAATATCCACAGGAGCAGGATCCATGCAGCCCAAAGGCAAGAGCTTCCCGCTTCCAGGTCAAGGTGTAGGGCCCTCATCCAAGCCTGCGACCTTCTCTCCATGTGAAAGATGGACGCAGAAAGTCTTCCTAGGACCTGGTGCAGCTGTTCAACTGGAAAGCTGATCTCTTCCTAAAAAGTCCATACCATAACATTCCACTATTGCAGGTCAACAAAAGATTAAGCAGCTGATTTATTTTAGAAACCAGGAAAGAAAAAAGTGAGCTTGCCCTATTAGTCATTTTTTCACTCCCACCCAAACTATTAGATAAGTCTGAGATAACATGCTCGAATTCATTACACTTGCTAAAAGCAAGAAAGGGCTGAAACATGTGCCTTTTAATTTTCCATCTCGTGCTTTTTCCTAAAAAAGAAAACCCCTATAAATTTCATAGGTCAGCCATTTTGCATGAAATGCAGAATTACAGACCACATCAAAACTATCACACCTCTCACAGCCTAGACTCCTGGATGATAGAATTGACTCCCAAGGGCAGTTCTCAGGATTTCTGTAGGCCCTGAGTTTTATTGACACGCATATGATTGACATACCTAGTTTGAAATGCATGACCTTTTGGTTTGCTGTCATTAAGGTAAATAGAAATGGCATAATGAAAGAACACAACAAATCAATGTTCCTTCGAGGGTCTTCAAAGTTCACAGATCAGATGGATTGCTGTGAAGCTACAGCATGAAAATCCAATGGTTTGAGTTCTCCAGTGTTACTGAACAACACTAGTTCTGTTGGCTGTTGACAGGGGAATGAGGAGGGGTCACAGTGCCACCCTTGGCGTCTCAGCAGTGGGGCCTAAATCAGCTTTAGGCTGTGCAGAGTCCTGCACAGCATTCTCCAAATTAACCCTTCTTTCCAAACCACACTCTAGAGGAGTCCACCACTTCTGTGTCCACTTCAGAGGGCTCCTCAAAGGGCCACAACCTTCTCACTTATGTTAGAGCCCAAAAACAGAAGGTGTGAACATCCCCGAGGGTCTGGGAGAGTCTCAAGCCTGGCTGGTCTTTGGGAAGACACCGGGGACTGAAGTGTATTTGTGTTTACTGGGAGGTCTCGAGTTAATAGTGCCTATAGCTGAAAAACGAGTGCTGGATCCTATAGGATCTATAGGATTCTATTTCAGTGAACTAGCCTTGAAGTGGAGGTCTACCAAGGCCACCTTCACGGTTGCATCCTGGTAAGCCTCACGTGCAAGTGACCTTGAGCAAGAGAGATGTAGCCAGTGTGAAGCGCAAAGCCGCCCGATGAGCAGCCAGCAGCAACGCAGAGCTGCTGCGGGGAAGGGAGAAAGGCCGGGAATCACAAGGATCGTTTCCAAGAAAGGCATTTGCCCCAGTGTAGAGCCTGGCTCCGTGCCTGCCGCCTCACCACCCAGTGCTGGGATGTGTGCCGAGCCCGGAGCATCCCACTTGCCCCTCGCGTGCCCTGAACACCACATGGCCCGGGCCGGGTTCCCCTTGCCCCTCTTGCCTCAGTGCCAGGCAGGGCTTTCCCTGGCACCAGGAGCGAATGTGGGGAGCAGCCCCTGCTCAGCCTCAACATGAGATACCCTCTGGCTTCTCCATGCCCCCAGTGTCTTCTGTGTGCCCAGTGTCTTTCCCATGCCCGGTGGCTCCCTGTGCCCAGTGGCTTTGGCAGGCAGCTTGCAGTCCCTTGGCACCACTCACCACCGCAGTCCCTGTGCCTACCAGACAAGGATTTAATTTCCAAGCTTCATTGATGGTTAAATCACACAAGATTAACAAATACATTTTTAGAGATCTCCATGTTCATGCACATAGTGCCTAAAAACAAATGATCCATACCTTTTGAGGCAATTCCTTGACCCTACACCCTTATAATGTGTACTCTTGTGGGGGACTTGCTTTTCCTTGCTGTTTCCAATGGTGGCAGTAGAGTAAAAGGTGCAAGACAACTTCATTTTATCTGGGAATCTATTTGTTCATTGCTCTCACACGATGCTAAACTAGTCTCTGATTCTGTAATACAGTGGAAATACTCACAGATTACTCACAGCATAACCTTCATACCAATATAGAAATGTCCCAAAGTAGAACTCAACTTTGCACCAATTTAGAAACAGAGCATTATCTCTCGTTAGCCAAAGTTGGGCAGTTCCCTACAAGAAAAATATTTCGGAAAAATACCAAGATTACAGCCCAAAAAGTTCTACAGTTTTACTTTTCCCTTATAAATAGTACAGTTTGTCAGAAAGAATATCTGGAGTGTGTGTGTGTGTGTGTGTGTGTATGCGCGCGTGCGGGGTGTGCGCGCAGCGGGACACGCGTGGGGCTGCGCCTGTGTGTGGGGAGCGGTGTCCACATGCAGGTGTGCGCAGCTGGTACGGGTGCGCAGAATGTGCCGGGAGTGTGCATGGGGGTAACCTGGGTGGGTGTACCGAGACGGGTATGGATGTGTAAGCGCGAGGGTGCGTCCCTGGAGGTGGGCGTGGATCCATACGTGCGAGGGGGGCTGCATGCATCTATACGTGTGTGCATCCCAATGCAGCTGTGCGTGCAGCTAGTGCATGCCTATAGCTACGTGCGAGGGTGTGTTACAGGCGCATATGTATATGTGGGGAGCGGGGAGGGGGATGTATATGCCCGTGCATCCCCGCGTCCGCGCGGCTGCGTGCGTCTAGGCGCGCTCCTACCCGAGCGCCGTGTCCCCCGACGGCGTTGTCCCCCCCGGCCGGGTCGCGCAGGTGGCCGCAGGACGCCGAGGCGGCGATGAGACTCCCGCTGGCCCTCGCCGTGCTCCTGCTGGCCTCGGCGCACGGGCTGCCCGAGGAGATGGGCGCCAGCGACGACCTCAGCTACTGGCCCGCCTGGCCCGAGGGCGAGCGGGG